GAGGAAGGTTCACACACAGGCAATTTTGAATTTTGATTTTGAATTTGAAGGTTAGGTTATTGACAATTCGACAGTTTCGTGTCATTATTGTAAATTTTGTGTTCTTAAACCCTTCTTTATTATATTTTGAAATAAATACACTCATAACTTCAATGTTAATTTGTATGTTTAGTGTTGACGATAACAAACGAAAATAAATACAATAATAAGTAAATAAATAAATAATAATAATTATTAATTTAAATTTACCGCCAAAATATCTAGTGATATTTTCTGGTGATTTTTCCTAGTGTAAATCTGACTTTCGCGTTTACTCCTCCTGGTTTAAAAACAGAGTATAGAAACTGGTGATAGATATATATGAAATAATTCTGGATTATGATTTCTTGATGCATTAAGAATAGTTATTATTCACAACGTCTTTCTCTATCAGTTTTATTACTTGGGTTATAGTTGATTTTATTAAGAAAAATCATCGAATTTTGATATTTTGTGATTTATGTCATATGACTAGAAACTGGTGATAGATAAATATGAAATAAGTATGGATTATGATTTCATGATGCATTAGGAATATTTCTTATCCATAACGTTTTACTTGAGTTATAGTTGATTTTATTATGAAAAATCGTCCAATTTTGAACTTTTGTGATTTATGCCATATCACTAGAAACTGGTGAAAGATACATATGAAATAATTATGGATTATGATTTCTTGATGCATTAAGAATAGTTTTTATTCACAATATCTTTCTCCATCAGTTTTAGTACTTAAGTTATACCTAGTTGATTTTATTAAGAAAAATCATCGAATTTTGACATTTTGTGATTTATGCCGTATCACTAGAAACTGGTGATAGATACATATGAAATAATTCTGGATTATGATTTCTTGATGCATTAAGAATAGTTTTTATTCACAACGTTTTTCTCCATCAGTTTTAGTACTTGAGTTATAGTTGATTTTATTATGAAAAATCGTCCAATTTTGACATTTTGTGATTTATGCCATATCACTAGAAACTGGTGATAGATACATATGAAATAATTATGGATTAGGATTTATTGATGCATTAGGAATAGTTTTTATTCACAACGTCTATCTCCATCAGTTTTAGTATTTGAGTTATAGTTGATTTTATTAAGAAAAATCGTCCAATTTTGACATTTTGTGATTTATGCTATATCACTAGAAACTGATGATAGATACATATGAAATAATTATGGATTAGGATTTCTTGATGCATTAAAAATAGTTTTTATTCACAACGTCTTTCTCCATCAGTTTTAGTACCTGAGTTATAGTTGATTTTATTGTGAAAAATCGTCCAATTTTGACATTTTGTGATTTATGCCATATCACTAGAAACTGGTGATAGATACATATGAAATAACTATGGATTATGATTTCTTGATGCATTAGGAATAGTTATTATTCACAACGTCTTTCTCTATCAGTTTTATTACTTGGGTTATTGTTGATTTTATTATGAAAAATCGTCCAATTTTGTCATTTTATGATTTATGCCATATGACTAGAAACTGGTGATAGATAAATATGAAATAAGTATGGATTATGATTTCTTAGTGCATTAATAATGTTTTTTATCCACAACATTTTTCTCTATCAGTTTTAGTACTTGAGTTATAGTTCATTTTATTATGAAAAATCGTCCAATTTTGACATTTCTTGATTTATGCTGTATCACTAGAAGCTGATGATAGATAAATATGAAATAATTATGGATTATGATTTCTTGATGCGTTAGGAATATTTTTTGTTCATAACGTTATTCTCCATCAGTTTTAGTACTTGAGTTATAGTTGATTTTATTGTGAAAAATCGTCCAATTTTGACATTTTGTGATTTATTGCCATATCACTAGAAACTGGTGATAGATACATATGAAATAATTCTGGATTATGATTTCTTGATGCATTAGGAATAGTTTTTATTCACAACGTTTTTCTCCATCAGTTTTAGTCCTTGAGTTATAGTTGATTTTATTATGAAAAATCGTCCAATTTTGTCATTTTATGATTTATGCCATATCACTAGAAGCTGGTGATAGATAAATATGAAATAATTATGGATTAGGATTTATTGATGCATTAGGAATAGTTTTTATTCACAACGTCTATCTCCATCAGTTTTAGTACTTGAGTTATAGTTGATTTTATTAAGAATATCGCCCAATTTTGACATTTTGTGATTTATGCCATATCACTAGAAACTGGTGATAGATACATATGAAATAATTATGGATTATGATTTCTTGATGCATTAGGAATAGTTTTTATTCACAACGTCTTTCTCCATCAGTTTTAGTACTTGAGTTATAGTTGATTTTATTATGAAAAATCGTCCAATTTTGACATTTTGTGATTTATGCCATATCACTAAAAACTGGTGATAGATACATATGAAATAATTATGGATTATCATTTCTTGATGCATTAGGAATAATTTTTATTCACAACGTCTTTCTCCATCAGTTTTAGTACTTAAGTTATACCTAGTTGATTTTATTAAGAAAAATCATCGAATTTTGACATTTTGTGATTTATGCCATATCTTTAAAAACTGGTAATAGATACGTATAAAATAATTATGGATTATGATTTCTTGATGCACTAGGAATAGTTTTTATTCACAACGTCTTTCTCCATCAATTTTAGTAGGTACTTGACTAATAGTTGATTTTATTATGAAAAGTCGTCCAATTTTGACATTTTGCGATTTATGCCATATCACTAGAAACTGGTGATAGATACACATGAAATAATTATTGATTATGATTTCTTGATGCATTAGGAATAGTTTTTATTCATAACGTTTTTCTCCATCAGTTTTAGTACTTGAGTTATAGTTGATTTTATTATGAAAAATCGTCCAATTTTGACATTTTGTGATTTATGCCATATCACTAAAAACTGGTGATAGATACATATGAAATAATTCTGGATTATGATTTCTTGATGCATTAAGAATAGTTTTTATTCACAACATCTTTCTCCATCAGTTTTAGTACTTAAGTTATACCTAGTTGATTCTATTAAGAAAAATCATCGAATTTTGACATTTTGTGATTTATGTCATATCACTAGAAACTGGTGATAGATACACCTGAAATAATTATGGATTATGATTTCTTGATGCATTAAGAATAGTTTTTATTCACAACGTTTTTCTCCATCAGTTTTAGTACTTGAGTTATAATTGATTTTATTATGAAAAATCGTCCAATTTTGACATTTTGTGATTTATGCCATATCACTAGAAACTGGTGATAGATACATATGAAATAATTATGGATTAGGATTTCTTGATGCATTAGGAATAGTTTTTATTCACAACGTCTTTCTCCATCAGTTTTAGTACTTGAGTTATAGTTGAAAAGTCGTCCAATTTTGACATTTTGTGATTTACGCCATATCACTAGAAACTGGTAATAGATAAATATGAAATAATTCTCGATTATGATTTCTTGATGCATTAGGAACATTTTTTCTTTAATAATCAAATTTATTACATACATTTTTCATAACAAAGATTTTAAAAATAACACATACAATTTTTTTGTTTATACTAGCTTTAAGTTGTCTTTCTTGAATACATAAATACGCAAAGAACATTTTTTGGGAGAAATAAGAGAAGGTATTTTCCCTAAGGTCGTGCATTAGTAATCTGCTGTAAGTCTATTTCTGTAACTTCCATTCTGAAGAAGATCATTCTCTCTNTAAAAACTGGTGATAGATACATATGAAATAATTATGGATTATGATTTCTTGATGCATTAGGAATAGTTATTATTCACAACGTTTTTCTCCATCAGTTTTAGTACTTGAGTTATAGTTGATTTTATTATAAAAAATCGTCCAATTTTGACATTTTGTGATTTATGCCATATCACTAGAAACTGGTAATAGATAAATATGAAATAATTCTCGATTATGATTTCTTGATGCATTAGCAACATTTTTTCTTTAATAATCAAATTTATTACATACATTTTTCATAACAAAGATTTTAATAACACAATTTTTTTTGTTTATATCGCAAAGAACATTTTTTGGGAGAAATAAGAGAAGGTATTTTCCCTAAGGTCGTGCATTAGTAATCTGCTGTAAGTCTATTTCTGTAACTTCCATTNTAACACATACAATTTTTTTGTTTATACTAGCTTTAAGTTGTCTTTCTTGAATACATAAATACGCAAAGAACATTTTTTGGGAGAAATAAGAGAAGGTATTTTCCCTAAGGTCGTGCATTAGTAATCTGCTGTAAGTCTATTTCTGTAACTTCCATTCTGAAGAAGATCATTCTCTCTGACAACGTTGCCAAACTTAGGAACGGGGAGTTGAGCTGAAAATAAGCATTGTGCACGGTAGCGCCCTCTGTTCGTATAAAACCCACTGTTCCCGGCGTTCTGGGCCCCACTTCTTGTTGATTAACTCGAAGGCAAGTTATTTGTATCACCAGAATGGTAAGTATGCGAGATTTTTCAAAATAATTTTTACTTAATTAATTAATAACAATTTAAAAACTTTCAGGCGGACCTCAGTGCCAAGGATGTCGAAAGTAAGTGAATTAAAAATTAAAAACTTCCTATTTTTTAAAAAGAAATCAGTGATATTATTATAATTATTATTAACACAAGTGAAGTGAAGATATAGTGTTACCGATATATGTATATAGGGGGAGAGGTCGAAATTAGAACGAAACTTATATGGCGCGCTTCTCTGACCCGGGACTTAAATTTTTTTCAACATTCCAAAAATAACTCGCTCTAAATTCGGGAATTTCGGTTTTACGTTACCACCTACGCCCTAAATTTAATCATTTGGGAGTGCCAATTTTCAACACTCAATAAATTAAATATGAATCAATTAATAAAATTGTTTTTTTAGGGGCGCAATTCGTTTTTTCCATTTATGACTTCGAAGGAAACGGTCAAATCGATGCCGTAAATCTTGGGGATTGCCTTCGTGCCCTTAATCAAAACCCAACCTTGGCTACCATCGAGAAATTAGGAGGAACCAAAAAGAAAAGTAAATAATTAAATTATTTCATTAAAAAAGTACCATGAATTAACATTATTTTTGATAGACGAAAAGAAAATGAAATTGGACGAATTCTTACCAATCTACAGCCAAGTTAAGAAAGACAAAGATCAAGGTTCATTCGAAGATTTCTTGGAAGCCCTTAAATTATACGACAAAGAAGAAAACGGCAAAATGATGGCTGCTGAGCTTTCACACACCTTGTTAGCTTTAGGTGAAAGATTAGCAGATGCTGAATGTGAAGAATGCCTGAAAGACTGCATGCTTCCTGAAGATGAAGATGGTTTCACCGATTACGAACGTAAGTTAATTAAATTTAAATTAAAAAATCTTTTTGTGACGTCGAATTGGATTAAAACGAAAAAAAATTAAAATTACAGCGTTCCTCAAAAACCTAATGGCGTAAGCAGTCCGTTAAATTTAATTTTAGCTCGTTGTGTAAGTATGTCAGAAACAGATTAAAAGCAGCAAAAGCTTCACGCCAGCAAAAAGATCTCATCAGCTTCGTGTATGCTAATGATTTATTTTTTTTTAATTAATTAATAATTTTATAACGCACTGCAACTACGCTATTAATTATATAATTTTTGCATTAATCAATGTTCTCCAAAAAGATTTATTTTTAATATGTTTTCTTTATTAATTTCGTTTAGTTACTTGAAGAAGTGGAAAGCTCCAAATATCGAATGATTTTTTTTTACCACCTACATCAAGGATGTGATTATCGAAGAATCTAAATTATTATAAACAAATTAATGAACGGGGGCTCTCAAGATCTTATACGCAGTCAAAAATTAATTTAAAAACTCCTTGGTTGTATGTTCCAATTTTTTTTTTGTTTCAGTTATACATGTAAAAAAATATATATGTTGAAATATAAGAGAAATATGTTTTTATTATTAAATAAATAAAATATATTTACCTCGATACATCTCGGTATCCTGCAATAAACCTTGAAGACTTCGTAAGACTTGATCCTGCAAAAACTTATCCTGCTAGAAATATACTTTGATGCAACCCTGATTGATATATATGATAGAGTCTTGATGCAGACTTAATGGAGACTTACCTCTGCAGGTTTGACTTGAAAGAAACTAAAAAAATGTTTAAATCGATTTCAAATTTGTCAAAAATACTTGCCAAATTCAACCAATTTTAAAAAATGGATAATTTCGTTCATAGACTAAGTGAAGTGATCAAGTTATGTTTACATTAAAGCTTATTCTTTATAGAATGTTCATGGCAAATTTCGTTTCTTCAATGTTTGTAGCACCGGAAATATGACATCTTTAATAAAAGCATCCTAACCCATTTTTTTAAAACATTCTCAAAATCAATCAATTTTAAAACATTAATAACTTCGTCCCTAATTATGCTATAGTGATCAAGTTAGGTTTAAATTAAAGCTCAATCTTTATAGAATGTTTGTGGCAAATTTCGTTTCTTCAATATTTGTAGCACCGGAAATATGATTTTTTAAAAAAAAAGCAATTCAACCCCATTTTTTTAAAACTGTTAAAATCAACCAATTTTTAAAATTAATAAGTTTGTCCTTAATTAAATTAAAGTGATCAAGTTAGGTTTATATTAAAGCTTATTCTTTATAGAATGTTTATGACAAATTTTGTTTCTTCAATATTAGTAGCACCGGAAATATGATTTTTTTAAATAACCTAATTTCTTTAAAAAACAACTAATTTTAATTAATTAATAACTTCGTCCCTAATTAAACTAAAGAGATCAAGTTAGGTTTAAATTAAAGCTCAATCTTTATAGAATATTTGTGACAAATTTCGTTTCTTTAATATTTGTAGCACCGGAAATATGATTTTTTTAAATAACCTAATTTCTTTAAAAAACAACTAATTTTAAATAATTAATAACTTCGTCCCTAATTAAGCTAAAGAGATCAAGTTAGGTTTAAATTAAAGCTCAATCTCTATAGAATATTTGTGGCAAATTTCGTTTCTTTAATATTTGTAGCACCGGAAATATGATTTTTTTAAATAAAAGCAACCAAACCCAATTTTTTTAAAAAATGTCAAAGTCAACCAATTTTCAAAAAATTATAATTTTGTTACTATTTACGATGGAAGATTCAAGTTAGGTTTAAATTAAAGCTCAATCTTTATAGAATATTTATGACAAATTTCGTTTCTTTAATATTTGTAGCACCGGAAATGTGATTTTTTTTAAATAAAAGCAACCAAACCCAATTTTTTTTAAACTTGTCAAATTCAACCAATTTTTAAAAAATCATAATTTTGTACGTATTTAAGATGGACTATTCTAATTAGTTTTAAATTAAAGCTCAATCTTTATGGAACATTTATGACTAATTTCGTTTCTTCAATATTTATAGCACCGGAAATATGATTTTTTTAAATAAAGGCAACCCAACCTAATTTCTTTCAAAAAACAACTAATTTTAAAAAATTGATAACTTCGTCCCTAATTAAGCTAAAGAGTTCAAGTTAGGTTTAAATTAAAGCTCAATCGTTGCAAAATATTTGTGCCAAATTTCGTTTTTTCAATATTTGTAGCACCGGAAATATAATTTTTTTAAATGAAAGAAACCCAAGCCAAATTTTTTAAAACTTTGTCAAATACAATGAATTTTAAAAAGTTGATATCTTCGTTTATAATTAAGCTGAAGTGATTATGTTGGGTTTAAATTAAAGCTTAATCTTTATAGAATATGTGTGGTAAATTTCGTTACTTCAATATGTGTAGCACCGGAAATAAGCTGTTTTTAAATAAAAGCATCCTAACTCATTTTTTGTTAAACTTTGTCAAAATCAATCAATTTTCAAACATTAATGATTTCGTCCCTAATTATGCTACAGTGATCAAGTTAGGTTTATATTAAAGCTTATTCTTTATAGAATGTTTATGATAAGTTTCGATTTTTCAATATTTGTAGCACCGGAAATATGATTTTCTAAAATAAAGGCAACCCAACCTAATTTCTTTCAAAAAGCAACTAATTTTAAAAAATTGATAACTTCGTCCTTAATTAAGCTAAAGAGTTCAAGTTAGGTTTAAATTAAAGCCCAATCTTCATAGAATATGCGTGGTAAATTTCGTTACTTCAATATGTGTAGCACCGGAAATATGATGTTTTTAAATAAAAGCGTCCTACCCCTTTTTTTTAAACATTGTCAAAATCAATTACTTTTAAAAATTAATAACTTCGTCCCTAATTAAGTTAAAGTGATCAAGTTAGGTTTATATTAAAGCTTATTCTTTATAGAATGTTTATGGCAAATTTCAATTCTTTAATATTTGTAGCACCGGAAATATGATTTTTTAAAATAAAGGCAACCCAAGCTAATTTCTTTCAAAAAGCTACTAATTTTAAAAAATTGATAACTTCGTCCCTAATTAAGCTAAAGAGTTCAAGTTAGGTTTAAATTAAAGCCCAATCTTTATAGAATATGCGTGGTAAATTTCGTTACTTCAATATATGTAGCACCGGAAACATGATGTTGTTAAATAAAAGCATCCTACCCCTTTTTTTTAAACATTGTCAAAATCAATCACTTTTTAAAATTAATAACTTCGTCTCTAATTAAGTTAAAGTGATCAAGTTAGGTTTATATTAAAGCTTATTCTTTATAGAATGTTTATGACAAATTTCGATTTTTCAATATTTGTAGCACCGGAAATATGATTTTTTAAAATAAAGGCAACCCAACCTAAGTTCTTTCAAAAAGCAACTAATTTTAAAAAATTGATAACTTCATTCCTAATTAAGCTAATGAGTTCAAGTTAGGTTTAAATTAAAGCCCAATCTTTATAGAATATGCGTGGTAAATTTCGTTACTTCAATATGTGTAGCACCGGAAATATGATGTTTTTAAATAAAAGCGTCCTACCCCTTTTTTTTAAACATTGTCAAAATCAATCACTTTTAAAAATTAATAACTTCGTCCCTAATTAAGTTAAAGTGATCAAGTTAGGTTTATATTAAAGCTTATTCTTTATAGAATGTTTATGGCAAATTTCAATTCTTTAATATTTGTAGCACCAGAAATATGATTTTTTTAAATAAAGGCAACCCAACCTAATTTCTTTCAAAAAACAACTAATTTTAAAAAATTGATAACTTCGTCCCTAATTAAGCTAAAGAGTTCAAGTTAGGTTTAAATTAAAGCCCAATCGTTGTAAAATATTTGTGCCAAATTTCGTTTCTTCAATATTTGTAGCACCGGAAATATGATTTTTTTAAATAACAGTAACCCAAGCAAAATTTTTTAAAACTTTGTCAAATACAATGAATTTTAAAAAGTTGATATCTTCGTTCATAATTAAGCTGAAGTGATTATGTTGGGTTTAAATTAAAGCTCAATCTTTATAGAATATTTGTGGTAAATTTCGTTACTTCAATATATGTAGCACCGGAAATATGATGTTTTTAAATAATTCAATTTTTTTTAAACTTGTCTAAAAAATTCATAACTTTGTTCCTATTTAAGATGAAATATTGAAGTGTGCAAGGCGAATTGATATCCAGGGGAAGATGTAACCCTTTATCCACACCGATTAGATAGCTAAGTTATTTACTTAATTTTTTCAAAAACTTCCAAGTGACAAACAATATTGGTATTTTGTGTGTTTATACTATTTATATCGACAATGGGGAACATTTAAATCAACCTGGGTTCGATCCCAGACGCAATTTGAAGCTGGTGGAAGGGATGAATATCTGCATTGCCCCTTCCCAGCTAATTAAAACTAATTTAGAATCAGATATAAAAAGACCTGTGCCAATTCGAGTATTACTTTTTAGAGTTTAACGGCGTTTAAGAGAGGACTAATTAAAAGGAAAAAAAATGGTAAGCATTTTAAAATTTTATTAAAAAAAAATGGATTCAAAAAATAATTTTGCTTTACATTTTAGGCAGATTTAAAAGGATCAGAAGTAGAAAGTAAGTAACTTTTAATTAGTTCAGTATCAAATGACAAATTCTATTATTATCTAAGATTTATTTTTATTTATAGTGGTGGAATTTGCTTTTAATTTATATGGAGATGAAAAGGCAGGTAAGATGGATTCAACTCTATTAGGCAAACTTTTAAGGGCTTGCAATTTAAATCCGAGTAACGCAGAGTTAACTAAATACGGTGTCGCCGAAAAAGAAGGTAACAAAAACGTTTCTTACGTAATAAAAATTTGTTTAAAACTTTTTTTGATTATGCAGGTCAAAAACAATTTACTTTAGAGGAATGTCTCAAATTTTACAGTGATTCTAAAAGAGATAAAAAAGAACAGGGTTGTTACGAAGATTTCGTTGAATGTCTTAAATTATACGATAAAAATGAAAATGGTAAAATGATGGCTGCTGAATTATCCCATTCCCTTCTAAGTTTAGGTAAAAAATGTTATTAAGATAAATTCAATTTTAAACAAAAAGTTCGTTTTAATTAGGCGAGAAATTAACCGATGCTCAAGTTGAGGAAGTTTTTGAAGATTGTTTACCAGAAGAAAATGATGATGGTGAAATTGAATACGATAGTAAGTTAACTTAATTAATAAAGAATTAATAAAAAAAATCCTTAATAATATTTTTCGTTCTAACAGAATGCTTTAGTATTATTTATTTATTTATTATTTAAATGTTAGTCTTTGTCTTTGAATGTTATTGTCCTTTTTTCCAGTTTTTTCAGTACCTTATACTTAGAGAACAATCAGATTACGCCACTTACGTAAGTAAGGCGACAACGTCTCAATTAAAACACTTTTCGCTGCTAATTGGGTTGCATAAATAGCTTTTTCCGCTTTTTGGCTTTGAAAGAAATAAATTAAAAAAATTAATTTGATTTAAACGATAAATATATTTTCCAGTTTTTCTTAGAAAGTTAACATTGAGACCTTTGACGGATGCTCAATAAATAAATTGAAAAGTGAGGAATAAAAAATGGAAATGAGGGAATAAAGGAAATTGAAGATTATAATTAAGAAGAAATTTATTTTTGTGTTTTGTGAAAGTTTTGTTTTAACTAATTTTTGTTTCGTTACGATTAACCTTAATGATTATCCACTCCTTATTTCTTTTTTGTATGAAATTTTTCAGTTTTCCTCAGGAAAATGTGCGGAAAACCTGTGCAGTGAGTCCCCGAGGCGCAGTTAAACTTTTAAAGTAATTTTAACATAACTTGTTGCATTATAATTACTCATAAATAAAAAGTTCAAAAAAAAGTTTTTTTTTCTTTATCTATTTTTTTTGTAAGAAATATTTTTGACAGAAATTAAATTTAGCACCAACATTGGATTATTTGGCCAAGGTGTTAAGAAGCAGCTCAAAGACAAAACGTCATATTATGTCATAAATAAGTTGAGGGTAGGGCACCAAAAATAATAATGGAAAAGGTTGATTACTCGATTAAGAGAGTCGCAGAATGCCTAGTAAGTCATAATGAAAGACCACGACGGAAATTATGATTCTAGAAGGTCAAAAAACATTAGGTAAGCGATCTCCAGTGAGAAATCCATAATATGATTGAAAATGACAACTCATATCAATATCATTTTCTAGAAGGCAAGATTTTGATGTATCAAGAAATCATAATCCATAATTATTTTATATTTATCTATCACCAATTTCTAGTGATATGGCACAAATCACAAAATTGGACGATTTTTCATAACAAAATCAACTGTAACTCAAGTACTAAAACTGATGGAGGAAGAGGTTGTGAATAAAAACTGTTCCTAATAGATCAAGAAATCATAATCCATAATTATTTCATATGTATCTATCACCAGTTTTTAGTGATATGGCATAAATCACAAAATGTCAAAATTGCACGATTTTCTTAATAAAATCAATTATAACTCAAGTACTAAAACTGATGCAGAAAAACGTTGTGAATAAAAACTATTCCTAATGCATCAAGAAATCATAAACCATAACTATTTCATATGTATCTATCACCAGTTTTTAAAGATATGGCATAAATCACAAAATGTCAAAATTGGACGATTTTCTTAATAGAATCAACTATAACTCAAGTACTAAAACTGATGGAGAAGGACGTTGTGAATAAAACCTGTTCCTAATGCATCAACAAATCATAATCCATAATTATTTCATACGTATCTATCACCAGATTTTAGTGATATGGCATAAATCATAATATGGCAAAATTGGACGATTTTTCATAATAAAATCAACTGTAACTCAAGTACTAAAACTGATGGAGGAAGACGTTGTGAATAAAAACTGTTCCTAATAGATCAAGAAATCCTAATCCATAATTATTTCATATTTATCTATCACCAGTTTTTAGTGATATGGCATAAATCACAAAATGTCAAAATTGGACGATTTTTCATAATAAAATCAACTGTAACTCAAGTACTAAAACTGATAGAGGAAGACGTTGTGAATAAAAACTATTCCTAATACATTAAGAAATCATAATCCATAATTATTTCATAAGTATCTATCACCAGTTTTTAGTGATATGCCATAAATCACAAAATGTCACAATTGGAAGATTTTTCTTAATAAAATCAACTGTAACTCAAGTACTAAAACTGATGGAGAAAGACGTTATGAACAAAAACTATTCCTAATGCACCAAGAAATCATAATCCATAATTATTTCATATGTATCTATCACCAGTTTTTAAAGATATGGCATAAATCACAAAATGTCAAAATTGGACGATTTTCTTAATAGAATCAACTATAACTCAAGTACTAAAACTGATGGAGAAGGACGTTGTGAATAAAAAGTATTCCTAATGCACCAAGAAATGATAATCCATAATTATTTCATATGTATCTATCACCAGTTTTTAAAGATATAGCATAAATTCAAAATTGGACGATTTTCTTAATAGAATCAACTATAACTCAAGTACTAAAACTGATGGTGAAGGACTTTGTGAATAAAAACTATTCCTAATGCATCAAGAAATCATAATCTATAATTATTTCATATGTATCTATCACCAGTTTTTAGTAATATGGCATAAATCACAAAATGTCAAAATTGGACGATTTTTCATAATGAAGTCAACTGTAACTCAAATACTAAAACTGATGGAGAAAAACGTTGTGAATAAAAATTATTCCTAATGCATCAAGAAATCATAATCCATAATTATTTCATATGTATCTATCACCAGTTTTTAGTGATATGGCATAAATCACAAAATGTCAAAATTTTACGATTTTATTAATAAAATCAATTATAACTCAAGCACTAAAACTGATGGAGAAAGACGTTGTGAATAAAAATTATTCCTAATGTATCAAGAAATGATAATCCATAATTATTTAATATGTATCTATCACCAGCTCTTAGAGATATGGTATAAATCCCAAAATGTCAAAATTGGACAATTTTTCATAATAAAATCAACTATAACTCAAGTACTAAAACTGATGGAGAAAGACGTTGTGAATAAAAACTATTCCTAATGCACCAAGAAATCATAATCCATAACCATTTCATATGTATCTATCACCAGTTTTTAGTGATATGGTATAAATCACAAAATGTCAAAATTTGGATGATTTTTCTTAATAAAATCAATTATAACTCCAATACTAAAACTGATGGAGGAAGACGTTGTGAATAAAAACTATTCCTAATGCATCAAGAAATCATAATCCATAATTATTTCATATGTATCTATCACCAGTTTTTAGTGATATGGCATAAATCAAAAAATGTCAAAATTGGACGATTTTCTTAATAAAATCAATTATAACTCAAGTACTAAAACTGATGGAGGAAGACGTTGTGAATAAAAACTATTCCTAATGCATCAATAAATCATAATCCATAATTATTTCATATTTATTTATCACTAGTTTCTAGTGATATAGTAATAATAGTAATAAATCACAATTTTTGGAAGAGAAAACTTTTTAAACTCAATTATTTACGGTTGATGACAATCTTAAAGTTCGATTACCTTTGCTATGAACCATGAACCATAAAGCACACGCCTTCAAAATGAAATAAAAATAAATTTTGTCATCTTACAATAAAACAATTAACACAATTTTTAATTAAAAAAAAATCTTAACATTCTTATTAGTACTTAAAATTTAAACTCGAAGAGATCTTTCATGTTCTTAAAACCGCCTCAGTATTGATTTTTTTATGGGAAGGGTCAAATTATAGGCCAATGTACCATTATTGAGCTAAAGAATGTACTTAATAACAATTTTCTCTATTACAACTGGTTATTATTTAATTCAATCATCGTCAATTCGAATCGATTTTTTTATGTTAGAAGATATTGAGTTAACCTTTAAAACTCAAATTTTAGCGTCCTAAATTTTCACCCCAAGTTTAACCTTTATCCCAAAATGTCAAAGAATCTATTTTATTGTTAGATAAAATTATTTAAATTAAAAAATATTATTTCATTTATTTGATATTGCGCCTGTGCGAAAACCTTTCCATCTCACTCATTATTGACCGAATCGAGTGAGATGGACAAGCTGGGGATCGTAATATCGAACGAATCCCGGTCCACGCAGAGTTGCAAATAACATCTCAGCATCCGCATCTAAAAACGTACCGAATCGTTTCGAAGCGAGGTTTTGAAACTAAATTAATTTTAAAATTAAAGTATTAATTTTAAAAGAAGTTTCCGGGAGATATAAAGTAAAAAAGGTGCGCTAAAAACAAAAATGACTGAAGTGCGTTCTACTGAAGAGGTTCCTGAAAAATTACCCGGTACTCATAACCCAGGTAAATTAATTTTCGATTTTAATCGTTTTAATTAAAGATTTAAATAAACCGTTTTCTTTTTAAATTAATTCTAATCAATCGTATTATTTATTTTTAAATCTCACGTCAGATTCGAATTAATTAGATTGTTTATCAACGTGATTCGAAGATTAATTTTAAAGATATATATTGGATTTCCCTTTCTAATTCTTTTCGTGATTACTTTTTGATGAAGGACGTCTTTTCCGGTGCCATAAATTAATTTTGCTGCCAAATTATCGAAGCCAGAGCCTGGTACAATGATGTTACCGAGGTATAAAATAAACGAGATAGGAAAACTATCGACCGGACGATTAAATGCACAAATATAAATACTGACCGAGCCGAAGTCTCCTTTCCATTTATTAAATGAAAATTCAACAGAATCGGTCACGTTTAGAATCAAAATCAAATTTAAAATTGCTCATAACACTAAAAAACTGTGTTAGATCACTCCTAATAACTTTATATTGTTGCTAATTGTTGTTGTATGACATCGAAATCGTTAAATGGAGTTTATTAAATAATAGTTTAAAAATAGAATATGTGAGGTAAGAGTTTTATCTTTCTTTATTATTTAAAAAAAATTTTTTTTAATAATTAAAAACTTATTAATTGGAGTAATTAAAGATGTTTAACAATTAAAATTGTTATGTCATCGACCAGGTCAAAAGGTTTATGAAGCTGCACCTTTTTAAAAGCAGTTCCAGTGTATAACAATAAGGACCTATCCTACGTCTCAGGCTATTAACTATTTAAGACCCAACCCAAAAAACGTATTTAAGAAAACAATCGGAAGAAAAATTCAAAAGAAACCATTAAAATTCTCAATACGAAAAGAATTCTTGGCTAAAAAATTTTCACTTCGATAATAGATCCAATTACAAATGGCTTTGAATCTGTTACGGTGACCCAGTTGCATAAATAACTAAATTGGTTGCGAGCCTTGTTCATGAACCCTTTATCACGCATCTACATTTTTGTTGTAACATTTTTTTTCCTCTTAAGCTATTCCATTTGAAGATGTAAAAATATGAAAACTGCGCCGTAATCTTATCTTTATAAATAGATTTTGTGAGTCGATTTCGATCTATTTTAACGCGGTTTATTTATATTTTTTTTGGGTTGTGCAACTTGGTTCGTTTTGGCACTTGTTGATTCGAAAATATAAAGATTCCTGTATTAACGATAAAAATATTTATTACAAGTGTTATTTAAAACTTAAATTTACTTGAGTATATTTAGTTGCCTATATCTGATTAATTCAAGGACGGTAACAAATTCTTTAACGAGTAGTTTATTGTTGTAAGTTTATGTAATGTTTGCCGTAATGTAAGTTTTATTGCATTTCACCTAGGTATGTTAGTTCAGAACCAGCAAAGAGTAAATCATGTCCTCGGGGCATAAAAGATTCCAATGCCCGCCTGGGAAGCGTTTATCTGATGGACAGCTTCATTTGTCTTA